CAACCCTGAGCCGGTGAGATTAGAACCGCTGACCTGCTGATCTAGCAGTAGCCTGCAGTGCTGCATTTAACCACTGCGCCACCTTGGCTCTTGGGGTGCTGTGTTACCCCACTGGATTCGGGTTTTCTGGACAATAACAGTCCCCCATCCCATCCAGAAGGAGCTCCATATGGGGCCAGAGGTTTCTCTGGGTTTTTTTCTTCTGCAGAGGCCTGTATGAGCAGGGCTGACCGGCTTGGTTCGTTATTGTCTTTTTTTAAAATAAACATTCCAACTTCCCTTATGCAGTTTGTTGTCTGGGTACAAACATTTCTGTGCAACATCGTTCCTTTTTTGCCACATCTTTCACATTCATCTTAACATTATTTTCCTAAGTTTAGTATTATAATATATTGAGCATTTAAACATTATATAAATGTTTTTAAATTTTTTGATCAGCCAAATTGCTGGCTGTTGGAGTGAAGCCCTTGGGATTAACAGTAAAAGGGGACTCAGCTTCCTATAGTCCTCCATGGTGCAGGAGATGGGAAGGGGGGTGGGCAGTAGCAGAGGTGAATTGCAATGGATTGCAGCAGGCATGTTGTCAAAGAAGGCATCTTTTCCCATGAGCTTCTGCTTAGAACCTTTTTCCTCCTCCATTTGGATCATTTTGCTCCCCGGAGAATTGTGTTGCCCTACAGCTTCTAATTTTCCTTTATTTCCCCATAGCTCTCCTCTACAAGCCGGTGGATCGGGTCACACGCAGTACTCTTGTGCTCCATGTAAGTTGCCATGAATATTAATGTAGTTGGCTTTTCTGCTGGAAATTGGAGGGACTGCTTCATTTCAGAGAAATCTATGCACAAGCAAGAAGTAACACAAAAGGGTGGAAAGAGTGGCCAGACATGGTGTCTTTTCCACCAGCTGCAGAACACAGGTTAGCAAAGCACAGGTGTTCCCTTCACCTGACATGCTCCATGCAGCATCTTTTTGGCTGAACCTGATGGTTGCTTCATACAGCAGAGTCCAATAGAGGTTGGGTTCCCACAGCACACTGGATCGCATTCAAATGACTCCTGGTTGGCGTAGGAGGGGGGGCAGGAAAGACACCCCGGGAGAAGAAGTTGAATGGAGGTTTGGAAAAACAACGCTGCTGGTAGGAAAAGGAGCTGACTTGAGGTGCTTGGAGCATAAAGGCGCTTGTGCAGCTACTGCTCCATGCAGAACCACAAACAGCTTTACCAGGAGTCCAGCCGTGGAGAATCTCAGGCCTTGATCACTTGTGGAGGTTCTTTCCCTCATCTCTGAGCTGAGGTGAAGCAAGATGCCAACATAACTCTAGTTCTGGGCTCCTGGAGATTCAGCTGCAACTGTCAGAGCAGATTTCAGCAGCCTAGGAGAAGAGAGACATCTGAATGGACGGAGGCCGTGGGACCCCTGAGAGGGAGGTCATGGGCCGGTTCAGGCAGAGCCTGGGCAGCCATCTGTCTGGGATACTCGGTCCCTGCATGAAGGAGGAGGACCTTGGATCTGATGGTTGGTTGTAAGCTTAAGTTAGACAGAAAACCCTCCAGAAGTGAAGCCCCCGTACTGCCAGTGCTGTGCTCTAAGGGTCTTTCTCCTCCCCCACTTCTTGTCAAACAGGATTTGCTGAAGCACACCCCCTCGAGCCACCCCGACTACCTGCTCCTGCAGGACGCCCTGCGCATCTCCCAGAACTTCCTGTCCAGCATCAACGAGGAGATCACACCCAGGAGGCAATCTATGACTGTCCAGAAGGGGGAGGTGAGTGCCCAGCTGGCACCTGGCACCCACTTGCCCAATGAGGTGGGCTGCCTTTTGCCTGGTTAGCAGGACTTCCCAGAAGGGGTGATTGTTTGCAACCTACAAGAGCTCTGAGTGGGCAGGAACCGTGCTGGGACTGGAGACATGCGTCATTCTCCTAGACCAGCTGCCATTTCTATCCCCTTTGGGCTTTGGGTCTTGAGGCCATTCGCTTGGCAGCCTCATCCTTTCTTGCCAACAATAGACTCCTGAAGGACAGTGAGGCCCTCAGCCCAGCAGCACCTGGCAGTCCTTGAGGGAGGAGGCATCCTTGGATGGGGGAATGTAAGCCCACTTGACTCAAACGCGGGACTTACTGAAATGCAGAGATGCAGGCTTGGCTCCGTGCAAGGAGGCCCGTTTCCCCTTTGCAGAGGAGTTTATATGGTGCAGGGGAGAAAGGAATGGAGGGGAGTCTCTCTAAAGGGTGGGCAGCGATGGACTGTTAGGCACAAGAGACAACATACATCATTGTATTAAAAAATATATTTGAGATCGTAACACAACGTCAATTTCAACTCTCTTAACCGCACAAGTTCCCTTTGATCCATCTATGCATTACAACCAAAATTCTTATATACATTTATTGTACACTCTTTCCTCTGCAAATACATGTTCATACACAATTGCATTTCAAATGTTGATTTGCTTTGTTCCATGCCACAAATCTTTTTATCCATTTTAAATCTTTCAGATAATTGTAAATGGGACAATCATTGGTAATCACAGTATATCCTTCCGCTATTAATTGTTCTCTTGATTTGATTTTTTAAATTCCACTTGATAATTTTCCAGTAGGTCCCAGTATGTCCAACATTTATCTGCTGTTTTTCTTCTATAATATGGTTCTTGAGCTGAGATCCATAAAAGTGTTTTTGGGTGCAGCCTGGCCAAGAATTCTGTTTTTAAAGCCAGTCTCTGAACCTCTCCTTCCCTTGGACATGTTTTAGAAGAGCTGCTGTGTCAGCACATGGGATAAGCAGTCTTGAAGTCCAGCCAACACTCAGTTCCTCCTCCCTCCAGGCTTCAGCTGTAGGGTTTCTCCACCTTGGCAACTTGAAGAGATGTGGACTTCAACTCATTGAGATGCCTGGAGAATTGTGGGAATTGAAATCCACACCTCTTCAAGCTGCCACGGTGGAGAAATCATGGTTCAGAGAGTTCCTGCGTAAGGTGTCGATGCTTATCTATAGCTCTCTTGAGATTGCAACTGACAGCCTGGAACGTGGCCTTGTGTTTGCTCCAGGCTCTGGGTGCCAAATCGTTGTTACCAAAGAGTCATTTCTGAGTAGCTCTGGAGTGGGGAGGTCTTGGGAATCTGTGGCTAATGCATTTGAAGGATTTTCACCTCAAGAGCAAGAACTGGTTTTCATGCCCTAGAAGAAGGTGGCTTCTTGGCATTCTAGCATCTTTCTCGTCTTTCCAAGTATCACCATAGATCCAAAACTATTGGAGAGGTGAAGGGGCTTGGGGGGGGCGGGCTGGTGAACAGAGCAGATGCAGTACTTCTGTGGGCTTCCTGCCCCTCCCTCGCAACCAGAGGAAACCAGTTTTGGCTTTTCTTCGTCCAGACAAGCCTGAACCAATAATAAAGATGCAGTAGTGGTACTTCCTGAAACTCTTTCTATGCTCATTTGCTGCAGGCAGGAAAATTAGAAGTTTTGCATTCTAAACTCCATTTAGCTGAAAAAGTCAGATCTGCAGGCTGTTCTCATTTGCTGCAGCCAGAGCCTGACCCTGCAGCTTTTGAGGGAGGGGACAGGAGAAGCTCTGCTTGCAAGGCACTTTTTTGGAGTTCGGTTACCAATGAAATCTTGGAATGTCGGGCTTGGGGAGTTTTTTATGTTGGTGGCCTCGAAAATGTCTTTAGCCTGCTGGACATCTGTTGGAGCCACTGGATGGCAACCTCCAGGGTGTTTCCTGAAGAGGAATTTGTAGATTAACAGATATTTAACCGGAGATACTTTCCCAAAGCTTGCCTGGAGTGTCTCCTTTTTCACAGAGCTCCAACAGCACTTTTGTCTCCTGCTTCTAACCCTAAAACCTCTTGCTGGCAATAATTTTGAATTGCTGAAAGAGGAAACTTAACAATCGCTGTATAAGCTACCAACCAAATGCTCCAGATCCACCTGGGGCAACTGATTTCAGGAAAGTCTTGCTACTAGTTTAAATCCAGTTGTGTATCCCTTGACACCCAGGGGGCCTTCATTCACTGTGCTTGTTCCTCGGTTGCCCTTCTCCTGCCTGCCCTTGTTGCTGAGAGGGAAACTTCATAGCTTGCCAGATGGGTTGTCCAACCCATTACTTCCTCTTGGCCTGTTGACCAAGGAAGCATGACAGGAGGTGCCCACTGAGAGCCCCGAAAGGAGATTCTGGAAGGGAAGAGCCTGACTTGCTTCTCTTCAGCTCAGGGAACCTGATTCCTCAGAGTGCGGGAATAATGGGTTCACACCATAGGGAAGCAGATTCCATCTGCTGTTTTGTTGTTGTTGTTGTTTAAAAAACTCACAGTCTCTGCCACCCTTCCCTGAAGGGAACAGATACGATAGGCCAGATCCACACACCTCAAACCAGCTTGGTTAGAAAGGCTACCAGTCTCTTGTGGAAGTGAAGTGATAATCAGAAGAAATAACTATTCCTCCTCCTCCTGGAAACACGGGACTTTGGACAGGTTCTGCTTCAAATATTATGGAAATAAAAGATGAAGTAAAGTCTTCATCAGCTTGACTCCCTATAACATCCCTGGATTCTTCCTTGCTGTTTCCTTGGGATGATATGGAAGTGGGGTTTGCCACAGCTTTCTTCCAGGATGTTTTTCAGTCTCCTAGTTGAGCCCGAGGGCCCTGAACATTTTAAAGGGCTTCTTTGAATTTGTTTGGAGCAACTGAAAAAGTGAACCAGGTTGAAGGTGGCTTAACTGACCATAGTAATTTGGGTAAAAAGGACTCCCCCCTCCCAACTTTTCCATTTTAATACTGAACTACCTCTCCCTGGATTTCTTCAGCAGACGAGTCCTTACTGAGCGATCTCAAAGTCCCGGGTAAGCAATAAATAGCTTAAGGACAGTCCTGCCTACTTTAGACTTTCTGCCACAAGGAAGGATTTGGACACAGCCTGCCTAAAGGTGATTTTAGTTCCCTTGTTGGGAAATCAGAGAATGCCAAGGTGGAATCCGTGGTGGTTTTCCCCACTTGCGTCTAACCATGGAAGGAACCTGGCCTGGCAGCCCCTCCTTTCCACTGCAGCTCTGTGATGCTGCCTTCCTCTTGTCTGCACCTGGTGAGTGAGAAAGGCTGAAGTCCCCCCCCCTCCCCAGCTGTCCCTCTATTCCTTCCAGATAAAATTCTGATGGTGCCTCCAGGTGTGTAAGATCTCTTAGGCTTTGCCACCTTGGAAGGGAGTCATTGACTGCAGAGAGAAAGGCAGGAGAGGAAGTGCAGTGGGACAGAATACTTCTCAATTGGACAGTGGGGGGGACACACTAGCTTGGCAGGAAGCAAAGATCCTTTGGCAGCTCAGTGATGGCTACTCAGCAGGTGAACCTTTCTCACGTTCCAAAGGCTGACCAAGAAGGTTAGGTTGGGGTGTTGGGCATAATCTTTCTTCCTGGCTCTCCATTTATCTGTGATGTAGAAAGTAGGGCAAGTTCGAAATGACAGTTCCAGGTATTCTCAGCTTGGAGTAAAATATCTGCACTTCTAGAGTTTTGTCTGGAATCTGAGGCATAAACTGGGCAGTTTCAAAGGTACTGAAACCCTTGAGCTTCATAATTGTTTTTAAGTATTACCGACTTGGAAATTATTTCTTTCTGTTGCATTTCAGCCTGGTTTTTTTTTTTATGGATGGGAAGTTACATAGCAGCATTGAGCATGGAGAGTTGCCGGTGGACAAAAAGTAGTCAAGTTTGGTTTGACTTTCAATTTCAGCATAGGCCTCCGGATCATCAGTTGTTTCAGGCTGCAGGGATTGCCATAGCCTATTGCAGCCTCTGCAAGCCCCATTTGCTGCAAGGAGGTAAATTGCTGGGAGGCAGAGGCCAAAGGGTCGGGGCTGGGTGGTGGGTGGTGCTAAATTCAATGTATAAGATGCACCCAAATTTGCACTCTCTTTTGGGGGGGAAGGTGTGTCATACTCTGAAAAATACGGTACTTCTGAGTCCATCTGAGCTGCTTTGGGGACAAGTTGGGTAGTCAAGTGGTTGCTCTTAACCTGGCATCTCCAGGGTAGCGGCTTCTTAGAGCCGAGGTAGCGCAGTGGTTAAATGCAGCACTGCAGGCTACTTCAGCTGACTGCAGTTCTGCAGTTCGGCTGTTCAAATCTCACTGGTTCAGGTTGACTCAGCCTTCCATCCTTCCGAGGTGGGTAAAATGAGGACCCGGATTGTTGTTGGGGGCAATATGCTGACTCTGTAAACCGCTTAGAGAGGGCTGAAAGCTCTATGAAGCGGTATATAAGTCTAACTGCTATTGCTATTGCTATTACTCCCGGGGACAGGAGTTGCACTACTCCCTCTTTGCCTATTGGGTCATCTCTTGGCTGCCCTTCTCTGCCTTTTGCTTACATCTTTAGACTCCCTGGTTTAAAAGCTGCTCTGATTAAAAAGCTCAAAATTGAAAAGTTGCCTTGTCATCTTTGCTGAGTTCCTCCATAGTCAGATTATGGTTTTCTGTGGGCCAGTTTTTCCTTTCCCACACTGGCAGAGGTTGCTCTTGGGTGCCCCCTCTAAAAAATCCAGGCGGGGTGTGGCCTGTTTGTCCCTTCTTTCCTAGCTAATTGGCCTGGCTCCTCTTCTTGACAGCACCGGCAACTCCTGAAGGACAGCTTCATGGTGGAGCTGGTGGAGGGATCTCGGAAGCTGCGTCATGTCTTTCTCTTCACGGATCTTTTCCTTTGTGCCAAGCTTAAGAAGCAGATTGGAGGGTGAGCCCCACCTGGGTGCAGTTATGGGGGAGGGGGGGAATAGAGAAAGAACTGTGATTGGATGGAAGGAAGGAGGCCTTGAGAGAACCTCCTTGGGGATGGATGCCCAGTGGCCAAAAGAGCACTTCTGAACTATGCCAGGGGTCTCTCTTTCTAAGGGAGAAGGGGGAATTCCACTTTAGATCCAATGTCCTTGGCCATCCCCCAGAGGTTCTACACTTCTGACCCTGCAGCTTTGAAGTTTATGTGATTTTCTTTGAGGCAGAAATTGCAAATAAAGTTTGCATCATTGGAAAGTTATGCTTTTATGAGGTTTCCAAAAAAAATCTCTGCAACTGTCCAGGAGATGCTTCTTTGCAACCAAATCTAGCAAATGTTTATCTGTTTTCCAGTTTTTTTTTGGGGGGGGGTGTTGGGTTTAAGTGATGGGTTCCCCAAATCCAGGCTGAGGGGTTTCAAGGTAGAGAAGGAGAAAGGGGAACAGTTTGAAACAGGTGCAAGACCACCACCGCAAGCGGCTCTCCAAAGCAAATGCCTGCGGTTGGCTTCACCGTCTCTTGCTGGGGGCTCTGGGGACGGATGAGGTCAGGGATGAGTCACTCACCTTCATCCTTCTCCCCTTTGCAGGAAGAGCCAGCAGTATGACTGTAAGTGGTACATTCCCCTCTCAGATCTCAGCTTCCAGATGGTGGATGACTCCGAGACGATGCCGAACATCTCTGTTGTGCCAGACGAGGAGCTGGATGCCATGAAGATCAAGATCTCCCAACTCAAGAGCGACATCCAACGTGAAAAGGTAGGAGAAGGGATGTGAAGCTCTTTGGGATGGCAGGCTATCACCTCTTTCCCACTGGACAGACTGACATGCTTAGATTAAAAAAGACTGGTTTTGTTAGGGACTGTGGCTCCTTCATTGTGAAGGCCTAGTGTGAGTTGGATAGCTAAGCACCCTTAAAGCAAACCAGGCAGCTGCACAACTGCTTTATTCTGAGGAGGGTTATCCTAATGGGAGCCCTGCACACCAAGGCGGGGTGGGGGGTGGGGGCTTAGAATAGGCAACTAGGAATGCTGAGCTCATTGGGTGCTGTGGAAACCCTCAACTCTTTAGTGCGACAGACTCCTGTCATTTTCTTTGTGCTTATGGGTCTGACCATGGAGGCAGGAAAAAATCTCCCTCTGGACTCCGGGCACTTGGATATCAGAGCCCCAATTGCTGCTGTTTCCAGATGACGGAGAAGGAGAACTTGGCCTAAGAAGGCCAGATGGGCTGTGTGGAACCAGACCCCGCTCAAACCCCCTGTCGTTTGAGGAAACAAGAGGTGGGGTCCCCCGCAACCCTCACGTTGTGAAGAGAGGAGAACACAGTCTTTATCTGGGCTTCTCTCCCCCTCAGAAAGCTAACAAGGGAAGCAAGAACTTGGAGAGGTTGAAGAAAAAGCTGTCTGAACAGGAATCCCTGCTTCTCCTGATGTCTCCTAATATGGCCTTCCGAGTGCACAATCGCAATGGCAAAGTGAGTGTCCTCTGGATTTCTAAGCTCCCTCTTCTGGGTTTCTCTCAGAACCCACCTGGGTGGCCCATCATACATGCCTATTTCCCAAGGCAAAGGGTTATTTGCAGAAGCACCTGGAGCCCTTTCCCAGCTCGAGGCAAAGAATGTGGCTTGTGTCTCAGCTTTCTTGAAATGCTGTCACCGCCTCCTGGTACTGCAGCTTTGGTTGGGATTGGTGACTTTCTCTGGCTCGGCCTGCTGAAGACCCGGGCACAGGAAAGGCTGCCTTCAACAGGACGCGGAAGCTGTTTTTCTGATCAGTCGTCCCGGAATTCGGCACCTCAGGGGTTTTTTACATTTCAACAGTCCCTGGCATGGAGTTCCTGAGACACTTTGCTTGCTTCAGCTGGGCTATAGTGCCTCTCAGGCCCCCAGTCAGTCATCTTTGGCTGGGGGGGGGAGGGGATGTGGCACTCTGAACTTCCAGCCAGCCCCCCTCAGGGCTTTGAAAGGAGATATGCTGCAGTAGTCAAGGCTGGTCCTGGGTTTTGGGAATCATATCAGCAGACAGGAGCTTCTCAGCCCCCAGGAGAGATTGACACCCCCATGGCTTTAGCCTTCCATGCAGCCTCTACTCCCTCCCATGTCCAGTCTGCCCGGCTAGAGTGGTTGAAGGTCTCCAGCCTTGAGGTCCTATAGCCAGGAGGAGATGCCACTCTGGAGCAGGGTCATGGAGCTGGCTTGGGTGCCTGGGCGTCCTCAGAGGAAGGGGGGTCCGATAGTCAAGTCCTTGTGGTTGCTGGTCAAGAGATCCGCCTGCCTTCCGTGCTCTCTTTTTCTCTTTATGGTTCTTTTTACTTCATACAGAGGTAGTCCTTGACTTGCAAGAATTGGTTTAGCAACCATTGGGAAATTACCATGGCACTGAAAACAGTGACTTATGGCTGTCCTCACCCTTATAACTGCTGTAGTATTCCCACTGTCATGTGACCAGAATTCAGGTTTTTGGCAACTGGCACAGATTTGTGACGGTTGGGGCAACCCAGGTCACGTGACAGGCCTGTGCAACCTTCCTAACAGCCTCTCAGAAAAGTCAATGGCAGAAGCTGGATTTTCACACAACTCAGTGAGCAACTGCAGTGATGGGCCTAACAAAACAGGTCCTGATAGAACCTCCAGGCCTGAGTGTGGCTGTAGCAATAGCAATAGCCCTTAGACTTATACACCGCTTCACAGTGCTTTCCAACCCTCTCTAAGCGGTTGACAGAGTTGGCCTTTTGCCCCCAATAATCTGGCTCCTCATTTTACCCACCATGGGAGGATGGAAGGCTGAGTCAACTTTGAGCCTGGTGAGATTTGAACTGCCACATTGCAGGCAGCCGTCAGCCAGCAGAATTTAGCCTGCAGTACTGCACTCTAACCACTGTGCCACCATGGCTCATGTAAGGCAAAGACCGCCAGCATTCCCCAGAAGGATATTAAGTACGCTGATGAATCCATTGCAAATCCTCTGGGTGGAGAATTTGCCCAAAATTTTATGAGTCCCCCAAAGGCCTTCTTGCTTCTCACTTTCTTTCTCACTTGTATACTTTGTGGCTATTATTTCATACTCTTCATTATTGTTTGTGGTGTAGTTTTGCATAGTGGATTATGTAATGGAAAGCTTTACGTATCTTGGGCTCCATGTGTTATACATCATATTTTAGTTCTTTCAGTAAAGTTGAAGCAGAAGAGGCTGACTTATCAGACAGGAAACTTCTAGAGTAGATTTTGGACAAACAGCATTGCTGGATAAAACCATGCAAGGTTTCTCTGTGCTTTCTCCCTCAGAGCTACACCTTCCTCATCTCCTCGGACTACGAACGGGCCGAGTGGCGAGAGATCGTCCGAGAGCAGCAGAAGAAATGTACGTGCCCCCGCAGGATCATCTCCCTGTGGGTTGGCCAGGTGGCACTTGGGGTGTGCCAAGGCCAGTCCTTCTGCCCAGGGAGTGCATCACAGCCCAGTTCCTTGCATGGGCTGGGAAGGGCCAAGGTGGATGTGGCCCCTGTTGCCTGCAGAAGTCTCTCCTAGCGCTTCTCCTTCCACACCGCCTCAAGGGTGGCTCCATGTCTTCCCCCCACACTGGCCTCTTTGCCAAATGGGTCCAGGGCTAAGCCAGGCTTCTTGCTGTGAGGGAAGGCGCCTGGGCCGAAGGCTTTGCACTGTCCGCACAGATAGAAGGGGTGTGTGTGTGTCCCAGGTGTTTCCGGCAGGATTTCCCAAATCCCAGGATGGTCCTTTCCTGCTTCCAAGCAAAGGAGTCTCCCTGCACCAAGCATGTCAATCTCCTTTCAACTGCAGGCTTCAAAAGCTTTTCGCTGACATCGGTGGAACTCCAGATGCTGACAAATTCTTGTGTGAAGCTTCAGACGGTGCATCACATTCCCCTCACAATTAACAAAGAAGGTGAGTGTGCGAGAAGGACCCGGCCCCCAGCCTTCCCTTGTACTAATCTCTTGCCTGCTTCTCCCACTGCGGAACGGAGCCCGGTTCCATGCGCCCAGCCCCTGCGGTGACCTTTGGAGCATGAGGTCAGGGGGGCTCCTGGACTGAGGGGGACTGGGCGGAAGGGGGGGGTCAGGCCTTAGGAAGTGGCCCTCCTCCCTCTCTGTGGTTCTGAAGGCCCCTCCCTGCGATCCCTGGAAAGAGTTTGGTGCTGTCTGATGAGAAACAACTTTTCTACTACAGGTAATTCTCTACTTACAACCATTTGTTTAGGGACTATTCAAACTTACAACAGCACTGAAAAAGTGATTTACAACCAGTCCTCATATTCAAGACCTCTGCAACATCCCTGCGGTCACACAATCAAAATTTGGACACTGGGCAACCAGCATGTCTTTGAGACAGTTGACATGGTTGCCGTTTGTGGTCTTCCCAACAAGCAAACTTAACGGGGAAAGCTGGATTCACTTAGCAACCACGTAATTTACAACATGCATGGTGATTCGCTTAATGGCCAGCAAAAAAAAGTCATGAAATTGGATTTGATACAGTTAGTGGCCACCTCGCTTAATAGCAGTGGTTCCAATCCCAATGGCCAATGGAAGTTTAGGACTACCTGTAACCTGATCAGTGGATTTGGAAAGGGATTTCAAAAAGTTTGTTTGGAACAATTGGAAGACTAAAATTGATAGAACTAAATTGATGCTGCCTAGGTTTCTCAAGCACCAACATCACGGTTATCCAACTGGCTGCTCCGAATGTGTGAATCTCCTCCCCCCCCCCCCCCCCACTCATGCAGAATTGTCGCCTTGCTCTGGGGAGCCCCATGGAGCTGCCCTGATCATTCCTTCTTTCTTTCTGAGACAGATGACGAACCTTCCGGCCTCTATGGATTCCTGAATGTGATTGTCCATTCGGCCACTGGCTTCAAGCAGAGCTCCAGTGAGTGTAGATGCTCGGCAGGTGTGCCAGTGGGACGGAAAGCCCCCCTCGGTGCTTAAAATTGGGCCTGAGTTAAAGGTCTGGCTTACAATCCCAGGGGGGGGCAGGGGGCGGGGGGGGACTCAGTGCAAGAAGGCCCATGGAAGGTGCCCGAGGAGCGACGTTCCCTCCTGATCCAAGGGCTGCCCAGTGTGCCCTGTTGGCAGAGACCCCCTGCAGCCCCAGGGGACCCTTACTGGAGCTGTGGCTTCTGTCTCTTCCACAGGCTTGTACTGCACCCTGGAAGTGGATTCCTTCGGCTACTTTGTGAACAAGGCCAAAACGAGAGTTTACAGAGACACTGCAGAGCCCAACTGGAACGAGGTAGGTGGGAGCAGTGCTGGGGGGTCTATGCACTTATGTGGCTGAGCTTTCAGGCACCTCCTCCTTGCCTTATGCCCTGGCTTGGGGGGGGGACTTTTGGGGTTCAGATGGACCTAAGAAATCCTCCCTTGGATGGCGGGAAGTAGGGGGGGGGCAGCAGCCCCTCTCCAAATGGGGAGCACTGCAGAATAAGAGCCATTTGTACACTAAGGCACCAAAATGTTTGGTTTTGTAAGGAAAACTGGGAAGGCTGCTTTACAGATCAATTACTCTTCAGAATAAATGGATCTAGTATTGCATTAGATCTAACCCAGTATTGAGTTGGGGGGGATGGGGACAGTTTCAGGACAATAAATGAGCTAGTACTATGGTAAATATGAATTAAATAAGTGAATAAAATAATTGGGTGATATATCTTCTAAAAATCTTTATTTTATCCATGTTTGTATATCGAGCTCCTGTCAAAATGATGGTTCTTTTCTAAGTTTGCATTGTAATTTTATTTTTCTCAAACCACTTTTATCGTGATTTAAGAAAATGCATTTCGTAACCAGTCCTGAAAGGGAGTAACTGACTTCTGCTCCTTGCTCAGAAAAAGGGCTGCTTGTGAGCTGTGTTGGAAGACATAGCACACTCGATCTCAGGTTCCCTGGGGCGCCTGGGAAGGAAAGAGCTGTGCCGAGGGTGTTTGAAGGACTTTGGATGTAGCAGTGAATCTTGGAAAGAAAGCCGCAAAGAATTGGCAGAATATCCCAATTTGAGGCCGGCGCAGTGCAAGGACCTCCCAAAGGCTTTGAAGGAGTTTCCTTGGCTGTTCTTTCCTGTCCAGAGTTTGTGGTCTCAAAGGTCATTGTAGGGTCTTCTGAAATGAGAGTTTGTGGGGGCTGAAACGCAGGCACAAGGCCTTTCTGTCAGTGAAAGGAAAGACCAGCCTGAGCCCTATTACCCATGGCTCCTTCCTCCTTCCCTGCAGGAGTTTGAGATAGAACTGGAGGGCTCCCAGACTCTGCGCATCCTGTGCTACGAGAAGTGCTACCACAAGAGCAAGCTCACCAAAGAAGACGGCGAGACCACCGACCGCATTATGGGCAAAGGCCAAATCCAGGTGGGGGGGGGGACTGCCTTGTGGGGGGAAGCTGTTGACCTTGGAACTGCACACCAATGAGGAATGGGTGCATTCAATTTCCACTTAGCCTGAAATGAAAATCACATATACAGGTAGTCCTTGACATACAACCATAATTGAGCCCAGAAGTACAGTCGTACATTGTGGCTGTTGTTAAGTGGGTCATTGGGGGACCAATAAGATTTTACAACACTTCTTGATAGGTGCCATTAAGCATATCACCATGGCTGTTAAGTGAACCTGCAGTGAATCCTTATGTGAATGCCACAGTTATTAAGCAGAGAGGCGTTTTTTGCCAGAAATCAGAAGTGAATTCCAGTTTTGAGCAAAAAGCTTCATAAATCACAGGGCCCTGCAAATGGCTGTACATCCAGCACCCCAAATGTGATTGCATGTCCATGGGGGGGGAGGGGAGGCTGTCATAACCTCAAATCTGGATTGCAAGTATGTTTTTGGGGTCCACCCTAACTTCAAAGAGTCATAAGTCAAGGACTATGTATTCTTGGCTTATGTCGCCATTGTTTGTCATATTCCCCGCCTCAGATTGAAAGTCTGCACTTTTGTAGGGAGGCTTTGGGGGGTCACTCTTTTTTTTTTTTTTTTGGAATTTTTATTTTATACACATAAGCACATCAACAGAACACATAAACACCTTAA